ACGAGATTGTTATGTAAAAGTGTTTGTTTTGAATTTCGCACAAAGCTACACGAGGGCTATCTGCGCTAGCCGTCCCTAATTTAGCAGTGTAAGACTAGAGAGGGAAGACAGCTAGTCATCAGCCAACTCTTGGGCTACTCTTTTACCAACGAATAGTGGGATTGAGCGTCACATTATAACGCCCCCACGGCTGAAAGGGCGAGCATGTTTGGTGGGACGGGGATTCGAACCCGCGCCCCGCAGATTGCGAGTCAAGCTCCCTAACCACCTGGCCATGCCGGGCCTTTATGTAAGATAGAAACAAGAGTATTAATAATGATAATATAACAAAGCCAAAAAAAATAGTGACAAGCTGTTGAATTAAACTAAGGAAATAAAAATATGATTAGAAAAAAACAACACAGTTAATATGAACAGTTTAAAAACAAAATTAAAAGAAATAATTTTAACAATTTTTAAAAGCATTAAAAGGGATAAAGAAAAAAAAAGTGAATAAAAAAATATAATATATAAATATTTTTAATTTATAAAAGGCTGAAGTATTTGTTAATATCAAAAGGACTGATACAACGTCATTTTAAAATATCCTTTTTGATTCTTTGATGTTTTAGGAAGAATGTTGTATAACAGTTATCTTTAAATGCTCAATTGGAAAGCTGTGTAAGTCTTCTCGTTCGCATTCAGTGAGCACATGGCAAAAATACAATACATTAAACAACGTATAGTGAAACAGCTAGTAACAATAAGTTGACTTGGGGCCCTTAGGTGTTCTGTGATCAGTGTAAGGACAAGTGTTGCATTTGCTTCTGTGATAATTGTACATACAAATTTGAGTATCAAATGATGGTTGTATGTTGTTTTAAATTTGACTGATTAAGTATATGTTTTAAGTTAGTGTCTCATTTATAAAACAACAACAACAGAGGTTTATTATTAAGTGTGACTGACAGTACCTCCTTTTTTTATAATGTGAAAGTTGTCAAATGATGTATGGGTGAAATGTACGTGTAAGGCAAATGTTTTTATGGTCAATGGCAGTAGAAGTGTGTTGGTTTAAGTGAGGTTGGACTTGTCATTGGGATCTGTAAATTCTCTGTGTTAGTGTTAGAATTACCGATGATTTAAGCCAGGCAATCTCTGAATTTGAACATTTCTTATGTGTGTATGTAGATTGTATTTAGAGGTGAAGGACATTAGTAAGGTAGCCACATTTTTCAAAAACAAATGGAGCTTCTCAACAGACTTGTTATTGTAATCTTGGTCTTTACTGCAGAGCTTATGTAACCTGAGTTGTGATGTGAGTGTGTTTCTTATGACATATGTCAACAGACCTGTTATTATAATCTTGGTTTTACTGCAGAGCTTATGTAACCTGAGTTGTGATGTGAGAGTGTTTCTTATGACATATGTTAACAGACTTGTTATTGTAATCTTGGTTTTTACTGCAGAGCTTATGTAACCTGAGTTGTGATGTGAGTGTGTTTCTTATGACATATGTCAACAGACCTGTTATTATAATCTTGGTTTTTACTGCAGAGCTTATGTAACCTCGGTTGTGATGTCAGAGTGTTTCTTATGACATATGTTAACAGACTTGTTATTATAATCTTGGTTTTTACTGCAGAGCTTATGTAACCTGAGTTGTGATGTGAGAGTGTTTCTTATGACATTTGTCAACAGACTTGTTAGTATAATCTTGGTTTTTACTGCAGAGCTTATGTAACCTGAGTTGTGATGTGAGAGTGTTTCTTATGACATTTGTCAACAGACTTGTTATTATAATCTTGGTCTTTACTGCAGAGCTTATGTAACCTGAGTTGTGATGTGAGAGTGTTTCTTATGACATATGGAGGATGTCTGGAGTGAAAATATTTATGTCAAGAAATGGGATGGTTTGGCGGGAAATGATAGATGTGTGCTGGAGTGATGGCTGAAAGGATTTAAAGTATAGAAGAAAAAGGTCATCATCAGTTTATGTAACTGCCAGAAACATCATCAGTATACCTAATGTATAAGGCTGAGGGGACATTTATGTAGTTACAAAACATACAATCTTCAATGTAACCAACACAGATTTTAGCATAGGAAGAACTCATTTTTGTTCCTATGGTTACACCGTTCTGTTTATAGAATCTGTCATATATATAAAAAAGGGGGCATTTAACAAACAAACTGATTAAGTTAATTTTTTTTAGAAATTGTTCATATAACTGTGTTTTTATGTTTTGTATTATTTCTTAAATCATATTTTTATTTCCTTGGTTTTAGTCAATGGATTGTAACTTTTTTACTTAGCTTATATTGTCATTACTGCAATGTTTAAATCTTGTATCTCTATCTTGTGTAACATTCTTTTCTTATGCATTGTATTCTTTTCAGAACATCCTGTAGTAGTTTGTCATTAGCTCGTAGACTTTTCTCAGAGCATTTGTTTGAAATGTTTCCAATAAAATAAAGAATAAACTTAAAAATTGTTAAGGTGACCTATTTCCAAAGGTATAATTTTTAAGTATTTATATTTATGTATTCTGTAGGTGTAAATAGTAAAAATAGCTGAAGACTTTACAAACTAGGGACAATGTGTCTAACATAAACCTAGAAAAATACATTTAAATAGTGACATGTACAAACATTAACTAAAGAGCTACAAGATTCATTTTATTCTACATGATGAATGATGTACATGAAATTGTATACAATAAAATCCTCATGGAAAGTAACGAAACATCATAAATTATACAATTTTCTTGTTTCAGAACACTGTGTTCAAATTAGACATAATTTTCTAATCATGAATGCTTTGCATTAACATGCTGTTGGTTAAGTGATACTACATGGAAGTTGAGATATTTAATCAGCAAAAATGTATGACCTGTAAGTGAATGATTTTTGTATCTTTTTGCTTTTCGGGTTGTATATGTCCACATATGTTGTATTTCAGAAGATACTCAATTTTTATTAGCATTTTAATAAACTGCAATATTTTAAAATTGTGAAATAGCAAGTTATAAACCCTGAACACCCGAGATAATAAAGTTTGTACTGTGGTTTGCAAACCTCTTATAGATAAGTAGTCCCTTCAGATACTAGCTTTGCTTTGATATTATATTATTGTTTTGTTTATAAAAATGCCAAAGCAGGATGATAGTACATGTTTAGTTTAACTCTGTTTTTTACAAATTCATTCTCTGCTTGGAGTGTATTATATAGCTAATCAATAGTACATTAACAGTTGTTATATTAAAGGAATCTTAAAATAGAATTACTGATGAATAACATGAAAGTACACTGATATTTACGATTACCAGGAATTTCAAATCTTTTACTGGAATATGCAGAGTTTCTCTTGTATTTACACTACATCACAGAAGATGGACATTTGTTTCCTGTATCAGGGAATCATAATCAAATGAATCTATTTGATTATGTAATCTCAATAAAAGTCTTGGTTTTTAATCTTTCTTGGGCTGGGTGTGGTTAGTGTGCCTGTACTATGAATCTGAAGTTCACGATATGCATCATAGTACTGCAAAAAATGCATTTTACACTTTTGGACCATTGGTGCTATAAAGTGTATGATAAAGATTATTAAATCTTATTATTTGATCAGATAAGAATAGCCCAACAGTTGACAGTGAGTGCTGGTAATTAGCAACATTCTCCCTACCTTATCAGTTGAAAATTAGGGACAGCTGTGTGAAAATAGCCTTTGTGTGGTGCAAAAACTAATGTGTCCATAGTTTTGAAACACTTGTATAATAATTGCATTTTTTCTTCATAGAAACTTAAATTTCCCTCAAAATTAGAATGTCTAAAAATTTGATAATATTTTGAAATATTGATTGAAAACTTTTTCAAACAACACTTTCTAGGAAGTGTGGCTGTTTACATGAAATAAAATAGTATAGAAACTGTCATTTAATTGTTTGATTGATACTAAATTTATAGATATATTGTATTTACCAAGATACAAATGTAATTATTACTTTAATTACTTTTGATATCTGATGCAGGATTGAGTTTATTTTAAGGACTGATGTTACTGCTGGTACTATACATTGTGTTATTATATAGGTATTATAAAAATCAATGCTCAATACTCTGATCACAGTTGTAATGTTGTTAGGGTCTTCTTACATGTATAATGATACAAGTTACACAGAAATGTCCGAAGGTATTGTATGTTATGGTTTTCAACCTACTACAGGTTAACTTTGGATTTCTTTATGTTAGTAAAAATATATTTTGACTATTTTTCTTGTCTCTGTGCAATTTATTTTATACTATCTGTAACAAAAGGAAAAAATAACCAAATCTCATTTTATTTGCATCCTCTGAGAAAAATAGTGGTTATGGATCTTATTTACAGCAATAAATATAGCCCTAACAAATCTCTTGTTTAAAATATCATTTTAAGTTACTTGCCCTGTTTTAATGCAATTATCTTATTGTACTTATGTCTGAAATGTTCCCCAAGAATTATTTATAAGATGTGAAACCTGTTTCTTCTATACATGATTGTGTATTTGTGGCTCATTATAAACCATCTGGGATAGACAGTGTGGAGCATGCTGAATAGGATAATACATGTATATCATGTGCACTGACTGCTAAGAAACTATAAATGTGATGCAAAACACTTGTGTCTTTGGACCATGCATCCAATTTTCTTACATGCCGAAAATTTCTTATCAACTATTCTATATTGTTGTCTTTATCTCTAGTTAACTCAAATTTTGGTGTAACTAGCATAGCTTATGGAATTTTGGTTAGAGTTGTTAATATTCAAAAACTCTCGTCATAATGTAGGTGGATTTAGTAAATAAGTCCTCCACAAAAAGTAGGCTAACCTTTTTAGGAGATTAATATTCCTAGTGATTGGTTTGGGCTTCTTTAAGAAATAGGTTGAATAAATTCACTGAAATTTGTTAAAAAACTATATTTTTTGTAAATTAGATAAAATGTTTTTTTGTTAGTAATGTGTTCAGTTACTTAAATATTAAGGAAATGCAGTTTTTCACGGTAAAGGTACTGTTACAACAGCAGAAGTCACGTGATGCTGGTAACACGTAATGAGTATCTGGAACGTTCCTGAAGGCTCCAGTGTTTGCCAGACGCCCTCTATTTTGTATAAGACTAGCGAGAAGTGACGGGAGAGATAATTGAAGTGCAGACAGGCAGAGATAGAAATGGACAATTGAGTCAAGCATGGTAGTAAGTAAAGTGTGTGAATCGTTCATTGTGAATTATAGCATATGTTTAAGTTAAAGTGACTGTGGAAATTAAGTGTATTGCAAAGTTGAATTGAGAAAGAATAAATTAGTTTTATTTAAGAAAAGACTTGTATCACTGAAGCTTCATCCGAAGAAATTATACGGGAAATTAACAAACGACCAGAGACGTAACAGTACTTTTATAAAAAAATATAACAGAAAGTCCTAATTAAGCAGAGAACAGTTTATGACGAGATATTTAAAAAAAACTTGTAAAATTTTGATTTCTTAAAATATGTGCTTATCTACTGTGTTTGAAGAATGTTAGCATAAATTTTCATTTAATATTCCATGTCCAGGGCTCCAGTGCTTGTGGCTTTAGCATTGCTTGAATTGGGAATGAAATATGAAGATGCTGTGGAGCTCATTAGACAGTAAGTTCAGTGTAATATTGTAAAATTATATATAGTTGAATTTATCATTAAAGAAATCTGAAGTGATCTTCTGTAGCTTAATTTTCAAGTCTTATGCTGGGATTTTTATCACCACAAATTAAAAAACGTTTTACAACATTTATGTGTAAACAAGCATGGCTTTCAGGCCTGTATACAGCTTTGTCACCCATTTCTCTTGTAATTATATCCATTAAAATTATTTAAAACTTGGCAAGAATTTATATCATATTTGTACTATAGTTTGTTGAAATGACAAAAAAAACAGTTTTCCTTCAGAAGATCCACTTTGATTAGCTTGTCTTGCACAAAGAAATAATCAAAACATGACTAGGATGATATAAAGGTTAGTTAAAAGATCAGCAGTTGTAAAATTGAGACTCAACAACCTAAATAATTGATTATATAATTAGGGCTCTAGATTTTTATAGCATAACTAAGACTATTTTATGCATGTTCTAGTACTGGAGATCTTTCGATTGAAGAGTTTTTATTTTGAGTTATAAGTTTTAAAAGCAGAAATGTTGAACTTAATTGGCTTCTACCTCCATTGGGAGAAAAAGAGTTAAATCAGCATTTGTTCATTAAAAAAAAGCAACATTTAAACAGTTTTACTGATATAAATAAATGGCAATGCATGTAATATTTTTTCGTATACATACAGCAGCACAAGTTTGTAATAGATGTTGTTGAGCATAGAGTTAGATTTTTTCATTAATTTCTTTCATTTATTAGTTCTTTCTTTCTTTACAGAAAGAGACAAGGAGCTATTAATTCCAAGCAACTGACTTATCTGAAGAAGTACCATCCAAAATCTTGCCTCAACGTTAAGAATAGTCTCAAGCAATGCTCTATACAATAAAAGTATTTTTATATATAATTATATATGATATGAAAGAAGTGAAATATGAAATTGAGAGAACGTTAAAAAAGTATAAAATCTTGTCAGATCTGAAAACAACTAAAATCTAATTAGGGACATAGTGGATGATAAAATACAATTTTAACAGTTAAGAATGAGCTAAGTTATCTGGCATTAGCTTGCCTTTTTCATCAGTGTCATAATGAGTTAAGAATAAATAAAGCAAATTTAGCTCTAAACACGTGTTATTCAGCTGAAGTGATAACGATTGTATTTATAGAATTCTGCAATATGTTATAGGTAGGTCATTGTAATATTTGTGAAATTATAGAATTTTCCATGAAGATTGTTTTAGAGTAGTTTATGAACTGTTGTTCTGTTTAAAGAATTTCATATGAAAATCATCCCTAGAAAGTATTATTATGGACTATATCAATGTGTATAAAGTTTCATTTTAAGAATGCTATGGAGAGTATTATTAAATTTATCTTGAAAGTTGCTACAGAGTGGTTTATTGAACTTCAGAATTGCCCTGGAAAGTATTATGGACTGTTGTAATATAAAATTCCTTGTGAAAATTGCTCTGGTCATGATATCAGTACTATCTCATAAAAACAATATCTGATTTGCCTTAGAAAAGTCTTTTAAGGATTAGACCATGATGCCATTTCTAAAAATCATATTCAAGACATAGCTTGTAAAATACTTGAAAAATAAATAAATAGATTTAACTACTTTCCTCACGGTGTAATTTAGAAAATTTAAATTACAATCGCTGATATCACATTACCAATTGGCCATGATATGCTTATACCTTAGAGCAAAGTGAAACATGCTTAACCCTATCTAACATGCTTAGCCACTGTGCCGTTGAATTGCTTATGCCAGCTGATATGGACATTTTTGACTCAATTTTAAGCATTGGTTTGACTGGTTTTATCATCTACTGTGTTTCTAAAAAAAAAAGATTAGAATCTCAAGTTTCCATAATATCTTTTTTGTACATTAATATCTAATAGTGGGTGCGACTGACTTTCATCAGTCATCAATAAATTTTTTAACATTTAGTGTCATTCAAGCATTTTATATTAGATCATGTTTTCAACTGTCATTTTGTGTCAATTCTGACAAGATAGACTATTGTGGTGATTAGGTATGACCCCTGTTTAAATCGACTGTTTTGTTTCATGTGAGAATTTTGTTAGTTAAGCATGAAATGTACACTGTTAATGAAATAGACTGTCTTCTTGTGTTTACCAAAGGATATTGAATTCAATTTATGCTTTTCTACATTCTTTAAGTTGAAAGGAATAAATTGTTTGTTTTCTAAAAGATACAACATTGTAGTTTTAAAATTTTGAATGCTTATTGAAATCATAATTTTAATAATGACAAAAAAAATACCACCAGTTGGAAGGTACCATACCAAGAGTTTCGTGAATATTTATTACAAAAACAAACTTCTTGATGTTAAGAAACATTTGATGAATTGTTGAACTTGAAGGAGTTAAACACCAGCTTAAGGCTATAAAAAATTGTCACTTTTTTTGTGTGTAATTATCCCATGAGATGTAATAAATGATTAAGATCAAGAAGCTTGAAATGAAGAATTAATTTTTGAAGAAGTGTTTATTTAGCAGTGATGTTCTTTAAAATATATTTTAATGTATCATTTTACACACACACACAAATCTCTTGTTACAGAAAATAGAAAGTTACTTATAAATGCAGATACTATTTTGTTAAACAAAAATTAAATAGTGATTTCTTAGAGAAGAGTTAATGAAATTCATGTTGCATGTTGTTAATGTATAAATACCAGCCATACATGTGGTAACTATTCTCATTATCAGGAGTTTTGTCAGCAGTTCAAATAATTCAAGAATGTATCTGAAAATTTCTTGAAATTCAACATAACACATTTTAATTTCTGAGAAAAATTTATAATTGATGTTTTAATTTAACTTGGTTGATCCATTAGTCTTTGTCAATAAAACTCTGTGTCAAATGACTTTATTACAACATAAACTAATTTTATTTAGGTGATTTGTTGTATGTTTACATTATAGGTAAACCTATTGTGAATAGACCATAAACTGTGTCATCTGATGATTGTTTCGAGAATTACTTTAGAAAGACTGAGAGGTGAATTTATTGTTGTAGTAAATTTGAAAAATATTGTTACAAATGTAGGTTTTGAAATAAACGTATATTAAAGGTAGAATATTTATAAAGTATTTTGTCACACCCATATTGAGTCTTACCAATAAACTAGGGGATTAAATATTGTGTTGATACGAAGTAATAAGTTCATGTACGATAAACTTGTCTAATTTCATGAAGTAATTAAAAATATTGTTATTAATACACATTTATAGCAACTCTGTGAAAATCAATTCAAACTACTATTAATGATAAATATGTGCAGGACAAAATGTACATCACCCAGTTTCTTATATTGAAAGCACTTTGGATATAATTGAAAATAATTAAACTATTGAGAAGTAGTAGTTATAAACACAAACACATTTTGTTTTGGCAAGAGAAAAACAAAGTTTTTCATATTTTTTTGAGAGCTGAATATGATCAACATGCATGGCAGAGGTATGTACTCTACTGAGTTCCCCTCTAGTTGTGAAATGCTTTTCTTTCCTCTCAGGTCCCCCTCCCCCAGTGGCACAGTGGTATGTCTGTGGACTTGCAACACTATAAACTGGGTTTCGATACTCATGGTGGGCTGAGCACATATAGCCCATTGTGTAACTTAAGTTGTGAAAAGTCGAAGCTGTAAATAGTTTGTACAGAAAACATCAGGCGGCGAATGTCTCATTTTTTACACTGTAAAATAAACACTTCTAAATGTGTCGCTAATTTAACCTTTAGTTTTTGCATCAACTGTCAACGTATTCTAGATAAAAGATATTGTTCGTTGATTATTTGTTTTTGAATTTCGCGCAAAGCTACACGAGGGCTATCTGCGCTAGCCGTCCCTAATTTAGTAGTGTAAGACTAGAGGGAAGGCAGCTAGTCATCACCACCCACCGCCAACTCTTGGGTTACTCTTTTACCAACGAATAGTGGGATTGACCGTAACATTATAAACGGCTGAAAGGGCGAGCATGTTTGGTGTGACAGGGATTCGAACCCGCGACCCTCAGATTGCGAGTCGAGCGCCCTAACCACCTGGCCATGCCGGGCCTTGTACGTTGAACTTGAGAGAAAGAAGGTGCATGTGGTTGAGGTGAGTATTCTGGAGTGTGAATGGATAAAGGTTACTACATTTTCAAAGTGAAAAACTGGGACTTTTTTTTTTTCATACGATGTGACGTTGTTGCAGTTCTGAACCAGTTTAAATTTAATGAATAATCTCATAGTTATTGCATCTCATTTTATAAACATAGCCACATAGTTAAAAAATAATAGATTAAATAAAAAACGAATCGTGAAGTTATCGTGAACCTACTCAAAAGAAAAAATGTTGCTTCTTAGTTTTGTTTTTTGCGGCTGAGCAGATATTCGAATTTCAATTCCTGCAGCTGCCCAATAATAGATTAGGTTTAAAAAAGTCAGGAAAGACGGTATCATTATGATCTGTCTTTTTCAAATGATTCTTCAAGTAAAATTTAACTGAGCCGAGTATAACGGCAAACTTTACATGTCAAACTTGCTCTGCGTTATAAAGAAACTGTGACATTTTGATACTTTTGGAGTTTCTGTTCGCACAACAAAAAAGTAAGGCCAGAAATGGGGATGTCTCTAGGATGACCAGACACCCCAGTTTTGCCGGGGCAGTCCCGTTTCGGTGTCTCGAGAAACATTCTCGGGATGCACAAAGCGTCCAGGATTTATGACAAAGACATCAAATTGTCAGTCACGTCGATTCACAAATGTAATAGGGCTACTTGACTTACCTATTGTTATAACATGTTCTCTCCTGCTGTCAAACTCTCATAAGTTTCATCTGCTTGGTGAGAAATCCAGATCTGTGAATAGTCCAAATGTCGAGTTCGTTGCACCCCTCTGGGGATTTTATTTCCTATATATCTTCTGAAAGAGTAATTTCTCCCAAGTAAAATAAGGCATGTTTCCGCTCTGTAAAACTGTTTTCTCACATGGTTTTTACTCCTCAAAACAGGTACCCGTCATTCCGCAAAAATGCTCAAGATTTAACAATTTGCTAACCATAGACACAAAAATAAGTTGGGACAAGGCATAACTTATATATAACTGTATATGTACAGTGATATATGGAACTATCACATGATTAACATAGGGTGATATTTGTGTAGATATTTCCTTCACTACCATCCACCCCATCCCCAGAAGGTGGAGGGTCGAGGATGTTGCATTTTGATTCCCTATATATGTTTGTCTGCGTGCATATCTCAAGAAATAATATACCTTATTAAACGAAAATTTCACACAATATGAGAAGTATTCGTGGTAGAATCCTTTTCTAATTTGGTCTGGATCCTGACCTGAATTCTATGACTTTGAAGGATTAATAATTATTGAAGATGAGATATATCTTCGATTTTTCACGAGTGACTCTGTCAAAAGTAATCAAACTTTGATCAAATTTTATGGACATATCAACAATGTGACTTTCTTTGTTTCTTCCAAAAATGATCCGGATCTAAAGACTTGTCAGGATATTTTTGGTTCAAATTTGATCATTTGTAAATGAAAATCAGTTTTCGAAGCTATCGCTCTGCAATGTTGCAAACAGATACTATGATCAATACCATTTCATAAATCTCTGGATTTTACTTATGTTCATAAACCTTGATCATCCATCAGTATCTGTACATGAGGTGGGTGGTCGAATTTTGGAGTTTGTTGCACTTCCTCCTCCTGGGGATTTTATTTCCAATACATCAGTTTAAAGTAAGATGTTCTCTGCATA